TTTTTATAAGACACTGCAGGCCAAAGGTCAAGCTAGTGAGAAACCGCACTAGTATCAACAAGGAGCAACTAAGGACAACTTACGAGAGCATAAGTTGATTGCTGAGGCGCTAAGCCATTGATCAAATGGAGGTGGATGGCGATACAAGACGGGCTACTGGGTTTTACCTAGGAGTTCGCTCCTTTGGTTCGTCTCAGATCTAGAAGCAGACCTCGCTAGTGGTTGCCTAAAATAGAAAGAGCGCTCAGGTCTTGCAGAAGCCGCTGAGCTTTTTAATAATAATAATAGATATATTTCACGTCAGTGGGGCTTGAAGCATGCTGAGGTGCATGATCAAAGTTACATAATGCAATAATGAGAAACGATAGATTTGCATTGATGTGAGAAATCTGGATCTCAGTCATTAAAGTGTTAAGAGGTTAAAAACGGACACAAATCGAGCAGTCTATTTGCAGCTAATAATGGACCCAAACGGAACCGAGGATAATTAGTTAGACGTTGCGGAATAAATCCATCAGGTTATAAGAATTTCCGGGAATAATGTTAGGTGTCAGTAGTGAGTTACCACATGAAGTGAGATTAATTTTAGTTGGCTTCAAGAAAGGTTGTGTGATGATTGTGTATAAACTGAACATTCTTGTTTCTTTACACGATCAGTTGCCTTTGTACGATTATGGCGCTTAATATAATTCGAAATCGAATATTCCGGTGTTCTATTTCATACTGCGCACTAGTTTGGTTGAAGCAAAACTGCGCGGATTTATTGCGATTCGAATTTCGATGTCAAGTACAGATTATCACAATTTGGCCTTGCTGTCGGTTTTAATCTCATAATGGGCACCTGCGATTTGGAAATTTTTGATATTCATTCGAATTTACGCTTTGTAGAAGATTATTTGGAGCGTTTTGAGATTTTCTGTCTCACCCGCAAGAGTCTAGACGCCGAGAGGAAGACGGTACATTTTCTTACCGCTATTGGAAGGGAAACTTATGAACTGATTACAAATTTGGCCTTACCGGAGTCACCAGTACAACTGAAATCCGCCGAATTGAATGATTTTTTACTAAATCATTTCCAGCCGGTCAAATTCGAGGCAGCCGAGGAAGCGAACTTCCATTACCTTGCTCGTGATCCTGATCAGTTCGTCTGAGACATAATTC